GAGCAACCATAACTTTTACTTTTGAACCAAAGTGGACATTTTTCTCTGACACAACAACCCAGTAGACACGGAAAGTAAAAAAGATGTCTTTTAAACGTCTTTTGAACGTGTGGACGTTTTTTGAACGTTCAAAAGACGTCTTCTTTTAGGTCCCGTGCCCAGTGGGAAATCTTTACAGTGTTTTGGATAGGTTTTTATAAACTGCTTTATGTGTTTTTTCTGACACCAAACAGGTTTTTTGTTTTTTAAGAAATTGCTTGTGTAACTCTCTCAAATTAAGGGTTGTTCAAACTTTACATTGTCATATTTTTTGAAGACTAAAATGTTATACTTTGGAATTTAAAATTTATAAAATACAAAGCTCATATTTATTTATTATTATTAAAGCATCCTTATATTTATATGTATTTTGCGTGTGTATGTATATGTATATATATATATATATATGTATACATATATATATATATATATATATATATATATATATATATATATATATATATATATATATATATATATATATATATATATATATATATATATATATATATATATATATATATATATATATATATATATATATATATATATATATATGTATATATATATATATATATATATATATATAAATATATATATATATATATATATATATATATATATATATATGTGTGTGTTTGTATGTGTGTGTATGTATATGTGTATGTGTATATATGTATGTGTGTATGCATATGCATGTGTGTGTATATATATATGTAAAATATATATATATATATATATATATATATATGTATATGTGTATGTATATGTATATATGTTTATGTGTGTATGTGTATGTGTGTATGTATATATTTCTATGTGTATATGTATATGTGTGTATGTGTACATGTGTATATGTATATGTATGTGTGTATGTGTATATATATACATATATCTTTCTTATATATATTCTTCTTGTTTCTTTTTGTTTGTCTGTTTTAATTTTGTTTAAAAAATGAGTAGATGAACTTAAATCTATAAAATGTTCGGAATCTTTTTTAATTCAAAATATTTTTTGTATATTTAAATATATATTATGAAGTTTATTGGATATGTATACGCATATGTACGGATTTGTAAATTATTTTTTCAAACTTTTTTATTTTTTATTATTTTCAAACTTTTTACTTTTGTAAAACTTAAAAATTATTTTTTCAACTTTTTGATTTTTTCAAACTTTTTTAATTTGTTTTTTTTAAACTTTTTTTAATTTTACTCTTTTATATATTATTGGAAATTGTAAAAATTTTTTATTTTTTTTATTTTCACGAAGGGGCTTGATGATAAGACATTTTGTCTTCTACTTGCCCCAGTCAGCTTGCATTTGTATAAATTTATTTGAATGTAAGGTTAACATTGTAAAATGTGTCAAATGACGAAAAATAAAAAGTTAAAAAAATATATATGTATATTTATTTATTATTATTCATATGTTTATATTTATTGCCATAAATATAAACATATAAACTTTTGTAGTTTAAAAAAAGAAAAAAAAAAAAGGAGAGAAAAACAACTTAAAAACCTATAAAAAAACCCTGCAGTTTTCAAACAACTTCTATAGTAGTGAAACAATTTCTATAGTTACTTTGAAACAAGTAAATCTAGTAAAACTAGATTTACTTGTTTCAAAAGCAAAAACATAACAAAATTGTAAATTTACTGAGATTTAGATCATATTCAGATTATTTTTCTTTGGCTAAGCAAAAAACCAAAGGAGCCATCCGTTGGTTCTCTAGTATAAAACTTCACACCTGAAATTTTTATTTAAAACTTTGTCATAAAAGTTTGCTAAATGACTACATACAAATAACCGTCTGAGGAAAAATCAAGTTCAGAACTTGAAATGTTCTGTTTAAGAACCTTAACATTTTGAAATTTCCGCCAACGAATTGTACAAAAGATAGTCCATTTCACCCTTATTAAACTCAATAGACCAGCGTGAAAATTGGCCGGGTCCTAGAAATTGCAAGGCTGCTTATCTACCTAAAAGATGTGATGCCATGATCCGCTCTCTAACTAAAACTGTCAAACTACTTTTTAAAAAAAGTAGCAGCCCTTGAAAAAACCAAAACCAACCTGCAAATTCAACTTACCAACCGCTAACCATCGGCAGAATATCCGTCCGTTTCTCAACCAATCCTAAAATCTTTTGCCTCACAACTAGCAAAAACTGGATCAACAATAAATAATGCCATTATAAATGCCTTGAACATAAACGCTAGACTTCAAAAGTCAAAAGCTAAGAGAGCCATAATCAACGGAATTCCAGCCCGTACCGATGCTTCCGTCGTCGATCAATTGGTAAAGGATATTTTACAGTATGTACATTACTCTGCATCCTTCAAAGTTGTACGTCACATTCCTGCTGCTAACTCTAACAAAAATAACAAATTGCCGTAAAACACTAGCTCATCTACTTCTTCATCTGCCACTGCCCTAACTCAACTAGTTTCACCGTCTCTTGTTAATGAATTCGCAACTAATGAAACTCGCAACGGCCTTCTACCAATCGCCAAAAACCTTGCAATCAATGAATCATACAAAAGTTTCTTTATACGGCCAGATAGAACTCCTTCAGAGCAAGACCTTTTTAACAAGTTAAACAACAAAAAGTTTAGGCCTTAAAGCAAACGGTAAACTCGACCAGCCTTTCGTTTTGTCATCCGCAGCGACAAAGTCAAATGCTTTGACGTCAGCAAAAAAATCAACATCAACGGCTTTGAAAAATGCCAATTCATCAACTGGAAAGTTGATGAATGGGTATTTTTCCAAGCCGTCTCAAATCCTGTAAAGAATTTATTCCCCGTGCCACCTCCAAAAAAACCAAACGCAGGTAGCCTTGGATAACTAGCGAACTTCTCTTACTAAGTAAACGTAAGAAAAAAAACTTTGGTACCTAAACCGAAATAGTAAATGGCGAATTATCTCTCTTGTTAAAGAGTATAACCTAACTTAAAACCTTGTCGAAAAAGTTTCTAGCATTGCCATTAGAGCATTTGAACGCAACTTAGCAAATGATAAATGGAACCCCAAGCGTATATACGCCTATGTGAATAATAAATGCGTCGTCAGTAATCAAATAACTTCTATGTGCTCACCTTCTAGGGAAATAAAAAGCGACCGGATATCCATAGCGAATATACTTTAACTGCCAGTTCCAGTCAGTATTCACAATCAAACCATCAGGTCAACCACTACCTCCCTTTGTCAACCGCACAACTGCTTTAATCTCCTCCGTCATTTTATGGTACGATTCCGTTCACAAACACCTATCTGCTCTCAACGCCAACTGGAGGTGACCATATCAGTCCATTTGTGCTTAGAGGATGTGCCGATGCAGATAAAGTCCCTCACAGAAAATTATTGAAAAAACTTAAATCCTATGGAATCGAAGGTAACATTCTGAACTGGATAAATGCTTTCCTCTCAAATCGATCACAACGCGTTCTTTTAGGTAAAACGTCATCCACCTGGATAAAAGTTACCAGCGGCGTTCTTCAAAGTTCAGTGCTAGTTCCTATGTTTTTCATAATATTTATTAACGACTTACCAGAATACATTAATAGCGTAAACGTGTGTAAAATGTATACAGACGATACCAAAATTCTAAGCGCTGTCAAAACCGCTAAAGAGAAAGCTCGTCTGCAATCCGATATGGAAAGCATCGTCATTTGGACTCAAACCTGGTTGATGGAACTCAACGTAAAGAAACGTAAAGTCATGCAAACGTTTACTCAATGAACAAGCACGACTTTTACTTAATGAACAAGGACGTCGCTAACGGCAATGTCACCAGAACTGAACTCGAATCATCAACCTGTGAAATAGACCCCAGACCCCAGACAAATATAAACCCCAGAGTTCAAATATCCAACAATTTAAAGTATGAGAGGCAAGCAAAAGTTGCCGCTGCAAAGGCTAATAAAGTTCTTGGAATGTTAAAAAAACACATTCATTAGCAGAGTTGTCAAAGTATGGAAACAACTTTACACCACCTATATACGCCCACATCTCGAGTTTGCAGTTACTGCCTGGTGCACTTACCTTAAAAAGACATAGACATCATAGAACGTATTCAACATCGGGCTACCAAAGTACCAAACGAATTAAAGCCCTTCGACTACAAGACAAAATGCATCAAACCCGGCCTCACCTCTCTACAAGACAGACATTTACGCGGCGGCCTCGTCCAAAAATATAAAATTGAAAATAATATTGATTCAGTTAGCTGGCATATTGTTCCACCTAGCATCTCTCCAAGATACGGTCATCGCAAGCGCTTTCACCGTGAAATGGATAACAACTGCCTCGTTTGTTTCAACTTTTTCAATAACCGCGTTGCTAACCCATGGAACGCACTACCAAACGAATAAGTCAGTGCAATCAGCGTTGACCACTTCAAAGCAAAATCCAATGAACTGTCATAATTACCACAGCGCATCACCTTCTGTGCAGTTTTGCACGAGCTAGTTCGGCTAGCTGTTGATGGGCTTACAGAACATGTTCTGTGTAATTCAACTAATAATTATAATAACAATAATAACAATAATAATAATAATAATAATAATAATATTATTGATAATAATAATAGTAATAATAATAACAATAGTAATAATAGTAATAAAAAAAACTGTATTTTGTTATTGATTTTGATCATTTTCTGAATAATTCATAACTTATAATAAAAAAAATACAACAAAAATATAAATACATTTATAATATAAATAATTTTTAATTAGTCAAAATGGTTTTTAGTTTATATGAAATGGTAATCCAAATATGTATCCAAAATATTTATTATTTTCATTTAATGTTTAAAAATTCATTCTTTAGTTTTAAAAATTTTGAATATTTACTTGTGTTTATTGCTTTACCAAAGACAATTAAAGCAAAAGCAAAGAATAAGTTAGTTTAATAGTGTCTACCGGTTTAAGTTTTGTTTAAGAAAAAAAAAATTGAAATTCCTAAAAAAGTATTCATGTTTATTATTTACCTATTATGTACAATATTCTTACATATAGTTTTATTCTAAAAGTTTAATAATAAACTTAACAACTGCTTCTTTCTCACCAAATAATTATGTGTATATATAAACGATTTCTTATTTATTCGGAAAGTTCAACCATGCTCCAGAAATGCTTTTTGGGTAGTTCAGTAATACTTGGCCTTTTTCGTTCACTCGATAAAACAAAGATCCTGTTAATAAAAAAGAAATAATAATTTTGAAAATCTAGAAATATTTACTAAAAGTACTTAATATTTACCATAGAAATGCAGCTATAATAAAGATTGGCTGAAATTTAAAAGCATATTCAGCATAAAATTTTCAACTTTTTTTTTTTGGTTATTTAGGTGCTCCCATAAGTCCTTGAGGTCTTATCGCGGAGCACCGTGGGAGAGCATTTAACTAGAGGTTCACGCCTCCTTCCTTACCAATGTCGCTTATTGGGCTAGAGCTAGCGTCGAACCTCGGACCTCTGGGTTCTAAGCCAGAACTCTAACCACTGCGCCACGGCTGCTCAAATTATATTTTAAACAACTATATCTTAGTTATAAATATAAGAAAAAATGTATTTTACTCAATTGCCTTATAGCAATTGAGTAGACCATTTGAAGTTTTTTAGATCACAAAAGCGTTTAATTGCGCTACTGATGATTTAATCACTGATGATGAGTAAAAAATAGAAATATTGTTTAGACGTTTTACCTTTGAAAAAATAAGTTACTCCGTTTCTCCAAACGAAGACCGAATCAATATTTTTTGGCACTCCGGTCCAATTATCAACAATCTTCCGTGGAAAACCTGCGTCTAAAACATTCTTTGTTCCTCCAAACCTATAATACTCATCTTCTATAAATACATAAGTTCTTCCGTTATTCCAAACAAACGCGGCATTAATAGTTTTCACTCCTGACTTGATTCCTTTATACTTGTCAAAAATCGAACCGCTTTCCAAAAGTTTTCGATCAGAAAAATTTTTGTATGTGTAATATCTATAAATAAAAAGTACACTGTCTATTATTGTTTTAACTATTGATCATTATTATTTTTTCATTGTTTAGTCCTATTATTTATCTAGGTATTGTTTATCTAGGTAAACAAAATAAAAATTTATTAAATTCTTAAAACAAAAAATTAAAAGGTTCCGATATCTATTTTTAAAACTAATTCTAGAAATCACAAAAAATCAGTCACAAATGAGTGACAAAGTTTTTTGGTGTTCTGGTATTGACCAAATCGTTATCTTTACTAAGAATAGGTTTACTAAGAAAACAGGATCTAAAAAAAATTATGTTTTTGGTTTATACAAATTTCATCAATTATGCGACTATTGGAGTTTTACTTTCTGAAAACCCTTTGTCAAAAACAGAATTAAGAAAAAAAATTTTCTTAATTCTGTTTTTGACAAAGACCTTTGTCAAGAACAAGCATTAAGAAAAAATTTTGGCCAAAATATTTTAAACTTATGAATAAATTTTCTCTATAGGAGCTAAAAAATATAAATATTTATGTTTCATGAAAAAAAGAAAATTTAAAATAATAATCTAAAATCTCTTTCATCTCTATGAAATATAAAAATTTTAAATATAAGCACATATGGCTCTTTAAATAAAATATAGTGCAAAACCAAACTGAGATTAATTTAAAATCGAATATTGTGAATAATTGAAAATCGAATATAATATCGAAGAGTAGAAATATGTTAAAATAAACAAAAAAATAAATACTCGAATCTTGACAATTTTTTTATTTCTCGATACAAATACTTTTTTTAATTTAAACTTATTTTGATTTTAGTTTTTAATGCTAATTACTCAATAATTGATTATGCGAGATTCTCGCGTTTTTTTTTGCGAGATAAACTAACATAAATTGTTACATATTTTGTATAATAAAAAACAATAACCTTTTTATTAAAGAAAATATGTAACAATTTCTTTTATGCGTCATTTTCTTTTTAAATAACTTCAAACTATAAAATAATTTTCTACAAAGTAATTTAACATTCTTTTATATTTAAAGTTTGTGTTTTCTTAAAATAACGTTTTTGCCGAGAGGTGTTTTTTTTTTTTTTTTCCCACACATTTTTCTGTTTTTTTAATGTCTTAAAAATTTAAGAATGTTTGTTATTTATTATATAAATTTATAACAGCATAAAGATGATTTTTTTACACTTCGCGTAATTAACATAACATTGACTCAAGTAAATATTACATGAAGTAAGATTTACTTAGGTATCTCAGCAGCTTTTATTGGTAATTGAGAACTTTCAGACATGGAGTGTTTTATATTTATAAAGGATTACATATCATTAAAATATTATTTATTTTATAACATTATCAAGTAAAGCAATCTCAATTTTTGGTATTTATTTGTGTATAAGTAATCTCGATCACCAAAGAAGAAGAAAAAAAAAACTGCCGCAATCCTACTATAAGTTATTTTTTTCTATAAATAGTGTTTATTAGTTTAGAAGTAATGTTTTCTAGTTTAGACATTATTCCTTATAGTACCATGATTTCAATCCATTTCTTTTTTTCGTATAACATTTTAATAGTTTCAAAGTAATTCAAGTTTTTCAAAGATTGAACATTAAGTTTTTCGTTAATAAAAAGCAGCTATGATTAGTTAAATGATATCAAAAAGTTATGAAACTGTATTAGCTAATCAACAAGAGATTTTACAAGATAATAACATGAAAAACTAATTTTATTTTTAACACAAGCGTTTCAAAACGTCCGCAGGATATCCGTAAGACGTTCTATGGGGGTTATATACACGCTGAGGTTGATCACTGTTTATAGATTAAATCTTAAATGAAAAACAATGATTACCTATTAACAACTCACCTGGTTCCTTTAAAGAAAATCAACTTTCCATCACTATCCATATAACCTGAATTCACACTATTAACCTCTGGAAACAAACTAGATACCGTAAAAGGTCCTTCAGTTTTTTTTAAATCATTGTTAATTTTGTAAAATTCGTCATCGTTGAACGCATAAGTAACCCCAGTTGATTTATCAAGAATAACAGCTTTCATCTGAAAACTGTTTTTCATTTTTTTAGTGGGTGTCACTGTTGAAGGTAACATTATTGATTTTTTGGAACCTGAATAGATAATATGTAATAAAGTATTTTTATTATGTTTTTTGATTAAAATTTTTTATTTTTGTATGAAAAATAAAATAAATGATACATAATAACAATAAAAAAGTAAAACTTACCGTAAATACTCTGTATTCCTAATACATCATCATCAGACAGCTGAATATTTCTTACATCTTGTACTCTATACCATGGAAACATAAGAGCTTCTTTAACATTGGAATGTTCTAAACCTATACTATGTCCTATCTCGTGAACTGCAACCCATAGCAAACTGCGACCCTCAGGCGATTCGATTGTGAACTTTTCGGCATCATCAAAATGGACGTCACCCGAAAGCCCTAGTATTAAAAACCAATATGTCAAACAAACATGATAGTATAAATGCATGCATGCATGCACGTATGTATGTTATGTATGTATGTATGTATGTATGTATGTATGTATGTATGTATGTATGTATGTATGTATGTATGTATGTATGTATGTATGTATGTATGCATGTATGTATATATAAAAGAAAAAAACCTTCATTGGTATGAGGATAAAATGCATGAGCTAGAGTTCCACCAAACCCATCAAAACTGTAGGGGTCGTCATGGTAACCTTGTGCAAACTTAATCTCAATGTCAGCTTTTTTATTTTCGTTTATTTGAAGTTGACGAAATTTTAAGTTTGTAACTGCTTCCCACATTGAAAAAGCCTTATGTAATGTTGTTTCAATTTCACCACGGGTTAAACCGTCATTGTTATTATTTAAGAGTTTCCAAGTAAGTTCCTATAATATATATATATATATATATATATATATATATATATATATATATATATATATATATATATATATATATATATATATATATATATATATATATATATATATATATATATATATATATATATATATATATATATATATATATATATATATATTATAGGAATTTTAAAAAATTTAGTTTTTAGGTGTTCAAAAAAGCTGTAAATAATGAAAAGAAAACAAAAAAAAAATACATTTTTTTTCCAGGTGGTTCCCTGCAGTGTATATCGTCTATTTCTAGATTCATTTGGTTTTTTAAAATCAGGCAAGCCGCAACGAGGGGTCTCAATCAGTTCCTGAGTCGGTGCGTCTAATATACCAGAGACTGGTATTCCAGCAAATCTTTGCAAGTTTTCTATCGAGTTTCGAATTTCTTTTTCATTGTTTATAGAGCCGACCTCAGTTGATAATGTGTAATAACCCAAACTCGCCAAATAGTCCTAATAGTATAACACAGGTTTAAAGTTCACGCACTTATAGTTTTGCTTATTTTAAGAACAATGTTTTGTTGAAATTAATTATTAAGTAACCAAATAATGTGCGACAAAACGCAACACATTAACAAAGTTATCATTCTATGTAAACTTTAAAGGATTTTATGTTAAATGCACCAAAAACGTCATATTAAAAAAAATCTAACAATATTATGTCAGTTAAATTATTGGTGTTCTGTTCTATAAACATTAAACACTTTGTAAATTATATTCATTTATTTTATTTATCAACACAGACACAAAAGAATACCATTTTTCATACACCTCGCACGCTTTAAAGGTTAAAACATATATATCTTACCATAGCTAAAACATAATATCTTACCAGCGTTTTTCTTGGAACTTGTATATGTTCAACAGGTAGAGATTGTGCAACGTAAAATATAAAAAACAAATTAAACCCTAACGAAATGAACATTTTCTTTTCAACTAAACAGATTGTTGGTAATGATATCTTTGTTTTAAAATGTTTTTCGACTAACTCAGTATTTATGAGAAAAATTATTGAAATTGAAACCGCTTTTCATGACGCACGTTTGTGTGACGTAACTGAAACGGGATAATTTCGAGTAAAATTAGGTGTTCGGTAACGTGTGTTATTTACTTAAGAAAAAGAAAAATATCGTAACAATAATACATAAATTTTCTTAAAGTTTACATTGATGATATTGTTGTTTTGTGTTTAGCTTATTTTCTCGTTTTACAGAAAGTATTTTTTTTTTTTTGTAATATTTGCACAATATTACGTAATTAAATTTAATTTTAATCAAGTTATTTTGATATTCTGATATTGATAAAAAATGAAAAAAAGAAATAGCAATCAATTACATAAGTTAGTAAACTTATAAAACTGATTGCTATTTCTTTTTTTTCATTTTTTTATTCAACTGTATTATATTATTTTTTGTATAGAAAAATTAGCAATAAACTAGGAATCTTTTTACTGGAAAAAAGATCTCAGTTTAGTTCATTTTATGTCAAGTAAATGTCTGTTTATCTTTTTTAAATTTGATTTTGATAAACGAATTTTCCTATTTAGACAAAGAAAAAAAAAATGGCTTGTACTATAATTAGTGGCGCCGAGGAGGGGGTGGGGATAGAGGGACAGTTTGTCCCGGGCGGCTGATATCCAAGGGGCGCCAAATAAAAAGAAGGTAGTTAAAAAAAAGGTTTATCTATAATATAGTGGAAACTTTGATAAATAAGGGCGCCAATCAGGGTAGCTGTCCCAGGTGGCGAGACTCTCGGTGGCCATGACTATGACGTGAACTTTGCATAAAGTTTAAAAAGTTTTTAATTTATTTTGAAATGTTTTTACATCAACATTTAAAAACTAACAAATTATAATAACATACAAAAACTAACAAATTTCATAAATTTTTAATAATAAAATGTGTAAAAACATCTTTGTATAATATTACGAGTACTTTATCTGTTTTTAATATTGTTTTGTTATATGATAAAATTTTTGCCTGAACGTTTTATTCAATTTTACTTCACGTTGGGGAGTGTACATTGTTTCATACGTTGTTTCGAGTGGAATTTTTTCTGCCGTATTTGAAATAAATAACCAAATATTTTTCAAGCTAAATGAATTAAAAACAACTGATTTATGCATTTTCAAGCAATTTATCATTTGCTGTAAATCGTTTAAGAAGTTAATTTTTAGATAAATTCTTAAACGATTAAAGGAATTCTATGAGAATTTAGGATAAATCCTAAATTCTATGAGAACCTGGGAAACCTTTTCTGACTAAAATCTACATGTAAACAATATAGCAGATATGTGCTTTAAAAGTAATCAATGTTTAACAAATATTGATTTTAATGACAGAGCCGTGGCTACTGGGCTGGAGATCCCCTTCCCTCCAAAAAAACCTGTCCACAGGGCCTCAATTTTTTAAAATATTTTCCACTTGTAATTACTAAGAAAGAAAAGCTTCTTATATCTCTATTAGGGCCCCAAATTTGCAAATGGGGCCCCTAAATTGGTCTTCTCCCTCCCTTCCCCCCCCCCCCTCTTTAATGTGCGTGTGTCGTTAGCTCTGGATAATGACAATGATTAGTGAAAGGTTTAACTAACTGATATCAAAGAAATTTTATAGATGTTGTTTTTTAGATGATATATTAACTATTTTGATTATGTTAGTTTTTTAATGTTATTTCAGTATCGACATTTTCAATGTTATTTCAGTAGATTTCGATGTTTTTACAGGAGCGACTTTTTAATATTATTCCGGTATAATAAATTTTAGTAAAAATATTTTTCAAAGTTTTATGAACAATGTCTTTCATCATCATTATACTTGGAACTAAAAATTATAAAAAATATTGAGTGACATTTAAAAAAATGTTTTACTTCTTCTTCATTGTAAAGCAACGAATTAATAATATCCTAAGTTATCTATAAAATATCTTACAGCACTATTTGTATAAACATTGTGACGCGGCGTGACACCATTTTATTTTTAGACTTAAAATCAAAAAACTAAAAAAAAATTTTAACAACAACTATGGCTTTGGTCAATATCGTTTATTAATTTCTTCTTTAAATGATTTTTTTAAACTTTTTTTCCTTCATCCCCATCTCTATCGCTATAAAATTTAAGCAGGTAAGTGAAAGAGGAAGCTTTTCCTTTAGAAAAAAGTTGGTACGCATTTCATTTGTTATAAATTTAGCGGAAAGCACCCAAGTTCCAATGTTCGTATGGACCAGTGTTGGCTCAAGTGGCACACCCAAGCCTAATCGGCTTTTTTTTCGAGCCATTTATGATAGACCGTAGCTAGTTTGCTAAATAGAAATTATTAATTATTTTTATTAATATTAACTATTACGTTTTGTTAATAAAACTTAGTGTTTAGCAAAACCGCTGCTTTTAATGAATCTGATTTTTAAATTTTTTAAAAAAAGCAATATTTTTAATGAAAGCTACACAAACAAAAAAGAAATTTCTAATTTTTCAATACACACTCTTATCGATGATGGCAGTGGGATGAGTGAAAGAAAAACTTGTATTAGCAAATTCAGTTGAAGAGGTTCTCCTCTGGTCCTTCAATTAAAAGTGTTTTCAGATTACTTGACAATGCTTTGAGTTAATGGAGTTAGTGGAGTTTTAAAAATTTTTATCAAATTTTTTTATACGGCTGCTGTTAATAATTTTCTAAGCGCCACTAAGCAACTTATTGTTTACACAAAGAATTGCAAAATAAATTCTCATGCAGAAACAAATTCTTTTTGCTGCATGAGAGAACTACAACAAAATCAAGCAAACTTGGTCTTTGATTAAACCATTGTATTTTGTTGTTTCTTGCGATTTGATGTCGGCCCACATTCTATGTGGACTTAAGTCTCGTGCAAGCATCCCTTACACATGATGCAAAATTGACTTAAAAATTCTCCCAAGTTATGGATCATAAATATAGGTTCCCTCTTAAAATCTTTTGAAGTTTTTAAAGCTTTTGAATTGACGTTGCCAAACTGCAGCTACGGCTATTTTCGCTGTCTAAAAGTAGCCATGACGTCACAAACCTAGCAAAAAAACTAACAGTTTCCGCTTAAAACTATCAAAATTCACTAACTTTAATACTAGTAATTTCTTTCAGTTAACATTTTCATCTTTTTGTTACACAAACATATTCGTTAAATGGGATAAAAACAAATACTGTTTTTTGCAATTATAACGGAAAACCTGATTGGGCCAACTAAGATTTAATAAGTTATCTTCAGGCTTAATGGTGGATGAAATTTAAAAACACATACCAATGACTGTGCTCTATTAATACATAAACTTGGCATGTATAACAGTGAGTTTTTCTAATTTTGTGCATAAGTTTTTTAATTTTTTTTGCATAGTTTTGTCTTATTTTTTACTTTTTTGTTTAACTTAAATTTACAGCTGTGGCGCAACGCACTGTTCAATGCCAGCTCGGCCAGATAAGTAACATTGGTTAGCGAAGAAGTGTCAGTTTCATCGACTTAATAAAAATAAACTAATAAAATAAATTAACAAATAAAAAAGGAGGGGGGGGGGATTTTCAACTATGAAGAAAGTAAATAAAAAACCTCCGGTTTTTTAAATAAATAGTTATAGTGAGTTTAATTAAATATTTTTTTTCCTGCATATTTTATATCTAATATTGATTTTACACATTAGACGCCCATTCATTTCTTATATTTAGAAGTTGATTCCATTCTACTTCTGCTGATAAAAAAGCATATTTTTTTTAGTTTTATTTTAAAGTAAATTGAAATTTTCCTGCTGAAAAAAATGGAGTATAAATCTATTATAAACTAGGTGCACAAAGACAAGAATGTTTTATTAAAGAACTTAAAATGAGTAAACCAATTATAAAACAGTTTTTGCTTACGAGAGTTTTTAATAAATTAGATATATTGATCCAATTTTTATATAAATGTTTTTCGACCAAAAAGAAACGATAAGTTGAAATATTATCCTTAAAATTGATCATTGAATTATTTTATTGATCTTGGTGAGTGTTTCTATTTAACAACAAACATCTATCTATCTATATGGATACGCCAGAATTATTTTGCAAATAATTCTGGCATATCCATACGCCAGAATTATTTGCAAAAGCAAAAAAAAAAATGATTCTTAAAAAAATTTCTTTATTTTGTCCAGTTATTCTAAAAATTTTGTTTTTGCTACGTAATAAATTTTATCATCTTTTCTTGAAACACTTTAATACTTTTGCGAAGTGTAAATATATTTCGCAGTTGTGATGTCTGATTTTAATCTCTGATTCAGTTTACATTAGGTTTGAGTAAGGTGTGTTTTTTTTTTTTTTTTTTTAAATTAGTCTAACAATGTTTATATAATGTTTATATCAGAATATAGGTATTCTTTTTTTTTTCTAAAAAGTAACAATGTATCGAAATTCGTCAATCGAGTTTGTCGTTCTGCGCGTTTATTTAAAAACACATATTTATCGTGATAATTTAATTGAATGTCATAAGATAAAAGCTTTTATTGGTATTTTTAATCTTGTAAAAAAATAAAATTGTCACAAATATTTCAAAACATACATATTATTTCAGCGACACTCCCTAATTGAATATTTTCAAAAAATAAAAAGATGCGACACCCCAAATGTCCATGCTGTTTTACATCGTATTAACAAATTTAATTGACTGGAAAAAAGCCTCACTGGATCACTACATTTAGAAGTCAGTTTAGAACTAGTTCATCGTCTCTTTATTTTATAGTTCTATAAATTGAAAAAAATTTAAATCTTTTTTTTCCTCTGTTTTGTACTTGCTTTTGCATTTCTGCAAGTTAAGTTTTTCATTTTTTTTTTAATGATCTCAAAACAATGATTTCTTAAAATTGAATATAGTTTTTGATTTGAAATTTTCAGGGCATATTCCTAACAACATTAAAATTCATTTAACAAATATATTTTATTTAGTTATTTTTAAAACTCATTATTTGTAGTTTTAACTTCTTTAAATTGCTTGTAAATAATATGAATTTTAGTTATTTATAAAAAAAACGATTACATCTTTAATTATAAAAGGACTTGTTAAAAATCTACCGAAGACATCAACAGATATGCAAAGCTCGGCTCACGGTTTTTGAATCTAAATCAAGATGACATGTTTGGAAACACAAGAGTTAAGTGCTTTTTTAAACTGTTTTTGCGTAATTAGGTTAACTTAATAGAACTTCACCCACATCCGCACTGAAATTGATGTTGACAGGCTATTATTAGACTTGCACAGCTGAACTATACATCTTTAAATAGCTTATTCCTTCAGCTAAAAAACTATGTAAAATTATTTAGATTTTATGAGAGTAATTGACAGTACCATTATAAACTGTACAGCACTGATTCTCGCCCACTTGAACTCAATCTTGCCATGTTGATTTAAAGTCGCCCACTGTGTAAATTAAAAAAGAACTTATACTTGCGTAGGGCGATGTTGTATATAGGTGAGTGAGATTAAATCTCGTTAGTTAATTTCTATGCTCAATTGCACCATTTTAATTAAAAAAGTATATAACCGTAGGGTTTTTGTGAATGCGAACTTTCTCCCAAGACTCTGACTTGAATCTGGATTCTGAGATCAACCTCAATTGTAATTGTAAAATGTATAAATAAAGTATAGTTTCAACACATCAATGCTTACGAGTAGTGATATGATAAATATTGTCTTCTTTTTACGCATTTTGTTACGATATTTATTACGATTATGCACTTTATCACGATATTTAATTGAAATTTCATTACGTATATATTTTACGAAATGTTTTATGAAATTTTATTACGTGTTACGTAATAAGATATTTTATTGAAATTTTGTTAAAGGGGCTCTATGAAAAGATTGCAATGACGTACTGTCATCCTCATCTTCTTTGAGCCCCTATCTGTTTTTTTGTTTTTGTTTTTTTTAAACACTTATATGTTATCAGTAAAGCTCGAAATGGGGAACCAACTCATTAAATGGTTAAGCCCTTGTGGTGGTGCTTAATGATAAGACCATTAGGTCTTATAACAAATAAGACCATTATATTGTGAAGATTAAATGGATAAACTCAACACGACTTGAACCCAGATGTAATGTTGTTAGAAGCCATTGCTTTTTGCCAAGCTGAAGCAAATATCCTTGCAAAATTTGAAAAACAAGTAATAATTCCTGGAAACTGACCCATCAGATCTTGTACTGTAGAGCAATAATAATCCTTCAGTGGCTTGAATAAGGTGCGGTCACATGATTGAAGCCAGTTTGATGTGTGTGAAGGCATTTCAACTATATGTAACTGGTTCTGGATAGCAATATTAATTAGCTCAATAAAGTTGTGAGGATGTTGTGGACCAATGTTTTCTAAAAATGTTTTGGTAAACCATAGTTTTGCTAGACCCTGTTTAGTCTCGCCACTACCGGACCAGCTCCAATTTGTTCCCGGAGGCGCGAGCTCAGTGTTTAAACCCCATAAAGACCTGGATGTCTTTCCCTTTACTATAACCTGGGGTGGAATGAACTTGCCCTGTGCATTCACACATGCAATAACAGTGATTAACTCACGATTTCCACTCGTTCGACTATGGAGGTTTTTTGTGTCTTTTCGTGCAACCAATTTTCTTGGTTTTACGTCAAGTTGTAGAACAGTTTCATCCATATTCCATATGGATTCTGGTTTAACGTGAAAACCGTTTTTCACCATGACGTCATTTTGACACTTTATCTTTATTCATAAACTGATGTTGAACTGAAGCTGTACCCTCAGGTTGTCGCAGAGTAAATTTATGCCAATGCTGGTGTTTAACCCTAATCCACCACTGGTTGCTTGGAAGTCCTTTCTTGAAGTTGAATTTATGTTTTGCAGCAAGTTTCCCAGCATAATTCAGGAACTGTGACTTTCCAAAGCCTACCCCTAACTTTTCTCTATTGCTGGCATAATCGATAAGTTTTTCTTCCAAAGCAAAAGATAGGGTAGATTTTCTTCCTGGCTTTGCTCCAATAACAACTTTTCCAGAAAGTCTGTCTCTCAGTATTGTACGTGGCACAATATTGCTGCCTTACGCACTGAAAATGATGGCTCTGATCTGACATACTTAATTCCACTCATCATATTACTCCATTTCAGGAATTCGCCCCGTTTCTTAACAGTGACTGATTGATCAATCGAATGATTAGAACCATTGACACGAGTTAAAGAAACATCAATTGTTAGTAGCTGTTTTATTTGACAAATGTCCAGGTGGGAAATCGTCTAGTGAATAGCTAGCTTTAATTGTAACGATAAAGACAGTAATTTGGCCACGAGGATCGCTAGCTTGTTAAAATTAGCAAAAAGCTATCAATATTTGTAAATATAAAGACAGACATTTGGCTAAGAGGACAGCTAGCTTAATACCATCATGAAGACGAGTTGTATTATAACATATTATAGCCTCTGTTGCAGAAGCAATCTTTCCAACCGACGAGTTAAGGTACGATTTGAAGCAAGTTTTACTTTTTTCTACATTTGATGCTAAACTTGGACCTGTGCTGACAAAAGCATGGTTAAATGAATTAGCAATTATTGCATTGTTACTAATTTCACAGTCATTTATAATTATTTTTTTTGGTAAGCAATTAGTATTCATATTTTTTTTACCAATAATCTCTTTCATAATGTTCCAAGTTTTTTGACCGTCATTTTTGTATTTTAGCAATTGGCTACTATAGTAAAACTTTTTTGAGCACTTTACAACTGTCACAAAAAGACGGTTATAGTTTTTATAGTTTGTTTCATTTTCAAAAGTACTTTTTTTAATGAACTTTTCATACAATCATTGCTTTTTTTTGAAAGATTTTATGATTCCAGGTGTTATCCAGGGATTTTTTTAGAGTTTTGGTTTTAATAAATTTAGTTGTTATTGGGAATGCTTTATTGTAGTGACATTGAAATATATGATGAAACTTATCATAAGCTTCATTAACATTTTTAGTTTTCAAAACAAACTCCCAGTTCGTTTTCGATAAAAGGTTAATAAATGTCACAAGAGAAGCGTTCTTAATTATTCGTTTTTTGGTTTTTACTTTTTCAGAAAGTTGATTCACCGATTTTTGTGCTGTTATAAAAACCGGTAAGTGGTCAGATATGTCTGTTATAAATATTCCAATATTAATTTTTATGTTTTTGAAATTATTAATTATAATTTGATCAATTAAAGTGGCACTATTTTTTGTTATTCGAGTAGGTTTATTTATAGTTGGAATGAATCCATTTTGAAATATAATATTGAAAAAAGTTCGGACTTCTTTGTTTTTGTCATAATAAAGGAGATCTAAACTTGATTTATTATTTATAACTACTAGTTATAAAAAAAGAATCTAAAGTAATCTGTTTAGTTTTTTTAGTATTGAAATCTTGTGAAGGTGATAAAAATGATTTTTATCACATTCACAAAATTTCTTTAAAATTTTTACAAGATTTCAAGTATTGAAATCTTGTGAAAATTCTAAAGATTTTCTTTGGGCCATAAAGCTCATTTTAAATTCAAAAACTTTATATTCTGATTGTTGTGATTTTTCCGAATGCCGTTTCATATTGTAAACTTTTGATTTTTTTATTTGCATAGCGCATGAAATCACTTTATCATTTATCTTTTCTGTTACTTACATGTAACCAGTTTTGTAGTTTTATCAATTTAAAAAAATCTAGAAACCTCTCAGGATGGTTTGATTTTGAGCTCTTTTTTAAATAAAAAACTATGAAAAAAACAAAGTAAATGACAAATTTTAAAGATAAGAGAAATAATAAAAATAAAATCACTAATATCAAAAAAAACTTTATTTGGAACCCACATGTTTAAATCTATTTTAAAAATGTTTTAATTAATTAAATACGTTAAAACAAATCATGTGATTTTTCGTTTAGGATTGTCCATAAGGTACAAACGCTCGAACGGGGGAGAGGGGTCAATTATGAAAGTAAGTAGACAGTAAATTATATAAAATATCATAAAATGTTGAGTAGGTAGGTTAAAAGGGTAGGTACTTTTAGAGAGGCAGAGGGTACTCAAAAATGTGTAAAGAAAATGCAGGGGGGGGAGGGAGATTTTAACCAATCATTGAAATTGTTTAAAAGTATTGTTTTAAAGTAACTTTTTATACTCTAGAATAAGAACCACATGACATATTACGCAAAATAATTGAATAAAAATTAAATTCTGAAAAAAAAAATTTGTTTTTGTTTTTTTATAAACCATATGAAAAAGTGCTATACTTAGAAATTATAAATATTTTAATGAGCGTAATTGTTTAAATTTTTTAAAAAAATCTCATTATATAAAATAATAACTTTGATACTTCAAAATATCAAAAGGGTGGAGCTGGCTTGGAGCTAACTCCGGATTTAGTTCCGGCAGAAATTATTTTAGCTCTCAACTCCAGGTAAAATCACCAGCTCTGGATAGCTCCGGCTCCAGCTCCGGAGCTGCTCCAAAGCCCTGGTTCGTTTGTAAATGATTATGGAGCTTGTTATAAACAATCATATACCCAAGTAAGAAATCTGATGGAAGATATTGACAGGAATTATGATAAATTTCTTGTAAAACGAACAAACTTGAAAGAAGAACAAATTACTAGTATATGCACACATCATCGTGATATGTTAATAGTGAGATATGAGAGTAGATATCAGAAAAGTTGCTGTTGTCCATTTCTGACTTACAAAAAAGTGTGTAGAGGTAAATGTTTATATATATAGAATTTAATGGGTAATATCATTCTAAGTTGTTTATAAGTTTTTTGTAATAGGATTTGTTCATTGTTTTATAATAAAAGTATAAGTAATTTATTAGTACTTGAGTAATATAGTTACATTTTCTTTTCAGCATCTTTACATGTAATTACAATGCATACTGTGTTAGAAGCAGAAACTGTAAGTTTAAATCTTATACCTAGAAAAAAGTTGTGTCCAACCTGTCAACGTAAAGTTATAAATCATTTATCAAAAAGTATGAGTGAAAACAAATATAATGAAGGTTTGGATATTGTTAGTGAAACATCCGTTAAAAATAAAAAAGATGGTGTAAATAGACACTTTAGAGCTACTGGAGTATCTCCTATTAAGATCAAAGGATTGTATAAGTCAGTAACAAACCATGTAGCTTGAACTGCACATAAATTAGCATTAGAAAAAGGTTTTTCCCATAAACTGTTGTTTTATAGAGCGCGTTAATAAAATGTTGAAAAACTTTAAAAAAAAATTTTTTTCTTAAATGATAGACTGCCTGCCCAAACCAAACCCTCAGTCGATGTAGCAGCACTCCCTTACGAGTCAGGCTACTTGTCAGTCGATGTAGCAGCACTCCGTTGCGAGTCAGGCTATAAGATAGTCGATCTAGCAACACTACTTTGTAGTAGCAGGCTTTAAGATAGTTGATGTAGCAACACTTACGCATGTTTTAAAAATGTTTTAAAAAACTTTCTAGTCATTATTATTGCGGTTTTTTTAAAAACAATAAAATTTAATGTACTTCCACATTAATTTAATTGCTTTGACATTTCGACGACAATAAAATGCAGCTTAAGAGATGAGGTAAAAAAGTTGTTATTGAAAGAGACTTTTTCTCTTTCGACTACACTATAAGGATACCAAAAAGTACAGGGGGCCTTTCATTATTAACCAGACTGTATTCTTTTACGAAGAAGCGCGCGCTAAATATGTTTTTGCTTCTAGTTGCAAATTACATTTAGTAAAAGAAATGCTTAATTGCAGTTTTACAGCTAATACTTTGTTAACATAGTTGTGTAATTATAAAAGAAAGTATTAGTTGAAGGAGTCATGTTTTTGTTTATGAAAATAGTTGGTAATAGGTCAACAATTTATTTTTATTTTTTAGTTCAAAAAAAAAAAAAAAAAAGCTGAAAAAATGGTTCCATAGTTTTTTGGTGTATTTTCTTGCAATCATATTCATGATTGTCGGATCTATCTATAGAATTACCAGTTTTGATACTGGAAATATGTCCATTTGTTAAGTACGTGTAAATCCGGATTTTGCGGTGCCGTTTTTTCGTCCAAATTCTGTAACACGCTTTTTCAAGTTAGTTAAAAAGTTACATTATGTATGAACTTGTTTTGCTCTGTTATTTTTTAGAAATATGTAACAACATACATAAATTTTCTTTATTATGAATTTATTGTTGTCAAAAACTTGCTTGATTTTTGGATATCAAATATATATCGAAGGAATACTGGTTCATTTTACTAATATATTCTCTCAACTTTAAAAACCATTTTTCTTACTACCTGCCAAATTTCAAAAAAGCATACTCAGGCATTTTAATACTATATTCCAATTAGGTAAAAATTTGTTGTTATTTGGACATCAAGTATATATCAAAGCAGGGCCGTCCTGAGGGGGGCATAGGGGTGTGTAGCCCCCCCTACGAATTTTATTTGTCGGCAAAATTGGATTTATAGTTGGCAATCGGCAAATATTGGAAAACAAGGATTTTTTTTTTTTTTTTTTTTTTAGATAAGTTAAGTTATTGGGCAAAAAAGTTAGTTTGGCTTTAGTTGGTAAAAAACAGACACGTCACCCCCTTTGAAAATCTCTTCGGGACGGCCCTGATTAAAGAAATGCTGGTTCATTTTTCTAATATATTTTCTCACCCTTAAAACCCCTTTTTCTTAATACCTGCTAAATGTCATTGAAAAAAAGTATACTCAGACACTTTAATACTTCCAATTAGGCAAAAATTTGTAAAAATATTAATTCCAATTAGGCAAAAATTTGTTGCTGTTTGGACATCAAGTATATATCAAAGGAATCCTGGTTTGCTTTTCTAATATATTCTTTCACCCTTAAAACCTTTTTTCTTACTACCTGCAAAATTTCATTGAAAAAAAAGCATACTCAGACACCTTAATAATTTACTCCAATTAGATAACTGTTTTAAGCTTCAATAATGTAATACACTCGCAGTGAGGAGTATTATAGTCTCTTGAGAGTGTGAGTTTCCAATTATTTGGAAATGATTGTATGGCAGTTAAAACTGTTTTAGCCATGAAAAAGATGAGGTTTATAGACGTCTAAGGTGATCCAAAAGCACTTGTAAATTATTTAGATAAAAACGATCTATAACAAACTATTATTCCTAGATATCTTGAAAATAGGCCTAACATTCTTTTTCATACTTGTTTTATTTTTGTGAAGCATTACAGTGAGTTTAAACATTTCCTCACTGTTGGAACAGTAAAATGTAAATGTTTGCAGGCAATTCTGAAAGGGGAATTTTGTAATAAAACTGCCATAAAAGAAATGTGCGTACTTGCATTGTTTGGGAAACTCCTTACTCGGCCTTAGATGAAAAATATTTATGTTTTGGTTGAGGATGCAACTTTTGATCATGTTTCTGAAATTCAGGTAGCAAAAAAAGTTTTGCTAATAATTAAAAATTGTAAATCTAATCCAGCTGCACTGTTTTGCAAAATAACAGATTTTTTTGGGAATGCTCTAAAATCAATATATCCTCGATTGCTAACCACTAACACTCGTATAAGCTTCTGCTTGTCTTGATGCTGAGCAAGTTGTCGACAATATTTCTCACTTTCAATTACAGAGAAACTAAAGATGCTAAGAGACACAAAAGGGAGGAAATTGGTAGATATATCTTAATGTTGTAAATTTTTTTTAATGGTTTTTTACTAATTGAAAATAATTTCAAATTATTTTTTTTTATCTAAAAGAAAGAAATTTTTGTTAGGGTTTTTATATAAATACTGCGTTGCTATATATATATATATATATATATATATATATATATATATATATATATATATATATATATATATATATATATATATATATATATATATATATATATATATATATATATATATATATATATATATATATATATATATATATATATATATATATATATATATATATATATATATATATATATATATATATATATATATATATATAAAATATTATATTGCGACTTAAAGTTTCATGTGTTACCACAATCATCAGGCAAGTAGTCAAAAGTTAATTTTGCAACAAAATTAACTTTTGGCTACTTGCCTGATGATTGTGGTAACACATGAAACTTTAAGTCGCAATATAATATTATAAATATTAGCATTTAGCTAATTCCTGATACTGCGGGTAACAGTAATATATATACTATATAGCTCTAGTTGCAAACTTAATCGGAAATAAACGGTCTATAAAAAGCAACAAAATTCAATCAGGTCCTCTTAATCTCCCTACTGTATCATTACCGTGGATACCATCACTATCCCCAAAATTAAGGAAAATATTTCGAAAGTTGGCTATAAAGTAGTCTTCAAATCAAATCCTAATTTAAGAACACTTTTAACATCAAAAAACAAAACTAAATTGCCACAAAATAGTCAACCCGGAACTTATCTAATTGAATGTGAATGCTCAAAGAGATACGTAGACGAAACCAAACTTCAAATTAGGACTCGAATCCAACAACATCAAAAAAGTTTAAACGAGGGGAAACATTATTAGTCGACAATAGCCACCCATAATAAGTTTTGCTCACAAGAAATAAAGTGGGAGGATGTTAAAACAATTAAAGTGAAAACAAAAAAGTTTGATCGAAAAGTGCGCCAAGCTTTTGAAATACAGAGGTATCAATGTTCTCCTTTAAATGGTGGCATTAATCTAGATAGATTCTTTTCAAAATTTTCAAAATTTTCAAAATTTTCAAAATTTTCAAAATTTTCAAAATTTTCAAAGTTTTCAAAATTTCAAAATTCTAGATAGATTCTTTCCAAAATTTTCAGAGCATCTATTCATCAAGGTATTTTTCCTGAACGTTTAAAAATTGCCAGAGTTACCCCTCTCCATAAAGAAGGCGACAGATCCAATATCAATAATTATCGCCCTATCTCTGTTCTTTCTATATTTTCTAAAATCTTAGAAAGAATTATTTTCAATAGAGTATACAATTATTTTAATTACAACAATTTATTATATAACAATCAGTATGGTTTCAGAAAAGGGAGCTCAACTGAACATGCCATCATTCAATTTATACATAACATCTCTAAATCTTTTGAAAAATCTCAATACACGCTAGGTGTCTTTATTGACCTATCAAAAGCTTTTGATACGGTCGATCACCACATCTTAATCCAAAAAATTAAATATTATGGTTTAAACAATAAAATTTTAAAATGGTTTGAAAGCTATTTAACAAATCGAAAGCAACTTGTGTATAGTAATGATGGTTATCAAAGTGAACCCCTGAGCATAACTTGTGGTGTTCCACAAGGCTCTATTCTCGGACCACTACTATTTTTAATCTACGTAAACGATTTAAACAAAGCTTCCAAATTGAAAAGTATAATGTTCGCTGATGATACTAATCTTTTCTTATCCCATACTGATATTTATGAACTCTTTTCAACTACAAACAAAGAACTCAAACACATTTCGAACTGGTTCAAAGCTAATAAATTAACTTTAAATATTAACAAAACAAAATGGATTATTTTTCACTCCTGCGCAAAAAAACGATTTTTAACAAATAATATGCCTCAAATTTACATTGATGAAACTATAATAAAAAGAGATACTGTTATAAAATTCTTAGGTGTTTATCTTGATGAAAATATTACTTGGAGAAAGCATATTGATCATATAAGCACCAAAGTTTCTAAAAATATTGGCATTTTATACAAAGCTCGAAATTATCTAAACAAAAAAAACTTAACCCAGCTCTATTATTCATTTATACATAATTATATAAATTATGCAATCATAGCCTGGGGAAGTACGGAGAAAAGTAAATTACAACATCTTTATCGCCGTCAGAAACATGCAATCCGTGTAGTTAATTATGCGGATCGCTTTTCACGTTCGAAATATTTTTTTGATTATATGAATGTACTAGATGTTTATAAACTTAACATATTTAATGTTTTATGTTTTACTTTTATGTGGAAAAACGATTTATCTTTATATGTTTTCAATGACCTTTTTTCTTTAAAACCAATAAATAAATACACATTAAGAAGTAATAGTTTTCTAAATGAACCATTTTGTAAAACGAAGTTCAACCAATTCTGTATTGCATATCGTGCACCCCATCTTTGGAATAAAATAGTATTACCAAATTTTGACCCTTCTACTACTCTTCCTGTTTTTAAAACTAAATTAAAAAACTTCATTCTCTGTATGGACAACATTCTAAAATTCTACTAAAAATTTATGTAAAATGTATTTTTCAAATCTTCAGCATATTGAGTATTAAAATGTTAGTATATTGTATATTTGCATTATGATATATTGTATTAGTATATTGCATATTTGCATTATGTTAAATCTTTGCATTATGTCTTTTTTAAGGTTCCGGTGATAAGATCCTTCTGATCTTCTTTCGGAAACCTAGTCTTATATTGTTAGTACGCTGAATTGTATATACATATATATATATATATATATATATATACTCATTTTTTTTTTCTTTTCTTGTAGAAGTCTTAAATATTTTTATGTATCGACTTATATTATTATATATCACGACTTATATTGTTATATATGTATCAGACTTATATTATTATATATCACGACTTATATTATTTTGTATCACGACTAACATTGTAAACTAAAAAATAAAAAAAATAAAAAAAAAAAAAAAAAAAAGATAACGGGCAATTTGTTAAAACTAAATTTTGGACTCCGTTTTTTACATTTTTACGTAAGCAAGAAAGAAGCCATTCAATTGCTGACGTCAGTTAATTTTAAACTGTTTTTAACGTTAAAAAATTTTGTGTTAATTTTTACGAGCTGATGATGCTGGTAACCATAATGCAGCGAAAATTTCTAATAATAAATTATCATTTGTATTAAGAGAATTCGTATTATTTGATGTTTTCTTATTAATATACACACACTCTTATACACGATGTCAACACTAAAGTTATATATATAAGTAGTTATAAAAGGAGAGTTTTAGCTCATTTTCATTTTCAACCATATTTTCAATCATATATTTAATTAAATATATGATTCATTATCATTCATAGTGTGTATAAATTATATAACTAAGAAATAAATTTTTAGGTCACTTCGTGATCAATGCTAAATCATTTTTTTAAGATTTAAAAATTAGTATCAATTTTGTTTCTATTGCGTGACGTCACAGGTCATGTGATTTTCAGATTGATCTTATGCATAGTAGAAGCATTGTCCTATAAGTGCAGCATAACTCCCAGATTGTCCAACTTGTGCATCACCAGAGTTGAGTGTCACTACCATTCTTCTACCACTACTAACGCTAGGCATACTTTCAGATGAATTAAAGTTTCTATAAAATGAAATTGTAGTTGTTGGACCAATTGTACTAGTTGATTGATTCAACAATCCTGATACTTCATTATTAAATGAGCTTACATTAGATCCATTCCATGAAGAGAGATAAAAATCTTCTAAACCTGATGAAGCATAGATACATCGACTATTAACATCATATCCAGAAAATGTAGTATATCCATTATTATTATAAGGTGTCCAAGGTTGAATGACAGTATTGGTAGGAGCACCATATCCATCATAGATGCGAACTCTAGATTCCCACCAGTTTCCAGATCCTCCAATAACATGCATTCTAATGTATTTCAAATACACTCCGTTTCCATTATCCATAACATTCATTAGCATATATTCACTACCATAAGTTGTATTTACATATCTAAATGTTGTTGAGTACATTTTAATGGATGAGATGGATCGAGGTATTAACGGATTAATACTAGTTAATGTTTGTTGTAACGATGAAGTTCTTGTGATAAAAGGTTGTAACCAAAAGGTCACTGAATTTCCTGTTTTATTGTATAATTGTATATTCAAACTTGATGTAAAAGGAAGATCAAATGTAAAATATCCTCCTAATGCACTTGTACTAAATACATTACATCCTTGTAAAGAGTTTGCATAATAGGATCCACCAAGTGGTGCAATTAATAAATCACAAGCTAAAGCTATATTATTAATACCTACCCCATCTGTTACAATAGAATCATTACCTATGCAAAGTACATTGTCAGCATATATTTTTAAAAACAAGTTACCTGGTACAGTATTAGGTGCAATAGTAGATCCTGTAAATGCAATCCACAGTTTTCTTAGAATTCCTGAACTACCACTATAGCTAAAAATAGTATATGATCCTGGAGTTGCATAGAATGCTTGAGATTTTTGTCCAAAGCATATTAAACTTGTATTGGGAATGATATCTAAACTTTGATTTTGCATATCGTCAACATAGCTCTTTGTAACTGCATCTTGTGCATCAGTAGGATTAGCTACATTGATGAGTTTATTTGTATTTAAATTTATATTAGCAGTTGCAGGATTATAACCATCAGTTCTTAGATACATACTGCTAGAAATCTGATTATTATCTACATAATGCTTTGTAGCTGCATCCTGTGCATTAGTAGGATCAACTACATTATTCAATTTATGTGAATTCAAATTATTATTAGCACTCATACTATTAGTTCCATCTAATTTTAGACATGCACTGCTAGAAGTTTGATTATTATCTACATAATGTTTTGTTGCTGCATCCTGTGCATTAGTAGGATCAACTAAATTTATTATTTTATGTGTATTGAGATCAACGTCTGAAGTTGCTTTATTGTCTACATTAATTTTTAGATTTAAACTGCCACCTGATGTGCTACCAAAAGCAGATAATCCATTCATTGAACTACTACCGAATATATTAATACTCATTTTATATACTCATTATTATTATTTAATTTATTTTTATAACATATCTAAGATTCACCAAAGTGAATTAATGATGCTTTGAAATTCTTTTCCATCATTTAGTTTTTTCAAGACATAGAGACACAAGTGCCCGCAATAGGAAGTATTTCCAAACTGAACTTGTTCAGTATTGTAGTAAACAGGACTGTGTAAATATTGAACAAGTTCAACTGGAGGTGGTAGACCATAAGAGTCGAAACTTAGTTTCATATCTCTGTCTTTATACCAACAAATCCAATGAAATCCACCTGTACTTGAATCTCCAGTATTTAATATTCCACATTCTTTTTTTTGTGTATTTTTAGGTAATTCATCTCTTACAAATACACCTCTAAAATTTTTTATTTTTAATTTTTTTGCTGCTTCTATTAACTGAAAGTTTGTTAATGGTACATTTGGTAATATGATTCCTTCAACATTGATTCTTTTATTCATTTTTATTAATAGTTTTAGATTTTTTTATAAAAAAATCAAGACTTTGTTAGATTTTTTAAAATCATTTTTTAAAATTACTTACCTGCCTGCCTGCTTGTTTATTTTAATTTATAATGTCCGTATGCTAGGGTATGAATTCCATCATCTAAAATAACTCTTTTATCATCTTCTGCACTGAGTGCTATTTTGTTTATTTCTTCTGTATATATATCATGACAATGAGATCTTATAACATTCATTTTTCTCATCTCATCTTTTCTATTCATAAGGCAATCTTTATAATCTTCATGTGTTATATAATTTTTAACTACATTTTTCTTTACTCCCTTACATCTCTTTTTATCTTCTCCATCTATTTTGAAAGAGTACAATTTTGATCTAAGTCCTATAAACTCTTCAATTTGTTTTCCTGCAGATTCATCTTTAAACATTCCCAATACTTTCTTATTTGTTCCTACTTTAAATCCATTTTTAACAGCTGGATGATTTTTTTCAAATTCACTTGTATCAAATTTACTTTCAATGTCATTTACAATATCTACATAAAAGTCTTCTGTTTTTATTTCATAGACTAAAGAGTCTGTGTCTGTGAATAACAGTTTAGCTCTATCACCATATTTATTTTTTATGTAATCGTAATGAAATTCATACATGAGTGTTTTACTCAAATCTAAAATACACATACCCAAGTAAATAGGTTTGTTATAAACTAGTTTTGTTCTTTTCATATGAATAGCTATTAAATTTTCATCAAATATAGTCCTACTTTCATAGTTGGGTTTTGATGCTAATTTAATAGCTTCTTCTCTTTTAGTGACTAATCTCACATCAACTCTGTTTTCAATGTTTTCCATTGTTTTTCCAAATACTGAATTATTCATGAGTTTAAAAAAGTCTTTTTCAAAGTCATTTGTTGCTTTTGTTCTTAGATCTGTATTGAGTTTAATGTACTTACTTAGCCATGCACTTTCTTTAAACTTTATTCCTCTATGAATTTTAGTCAATTTTAATCCTAATCTTTCATACAATTTCAAATTTTCATAATGAATGATATAATTTTTCTTATGATTTAAATTAGATACTAATTTTTCAACTTTGTTTATTTTTAATCTTTCAGGAGCAAGTGGATAATCATTATGCAAATCATGTAAGTGTTCAGGATATTCTAAATCTACTTCTAATATGCAAGAAGTAGATTTCCAATTTTCTATTTCTTTTTCATTCATCCATTTAAACCCATGTGTAGGAAGGGGTTTGCTCATTGCCCATCCATATAAATTGTTAGCATCTAAATATTGTATGTAAGTAGATTCTTTACTTTTATCATAATTTTCCATATACTTATTATTAGCAACTCCCAACCTGTTAGAAATTGTGCTAATTCCACCTCTTATTCCTTGCTTTATCATAAGAATCATATCATAATCACTTAATAATTCTAATTGTACTTTTGTTTCTTTCAAAGCAGCATCCCAAGCTAATCCTGGTGAAGTATAGTACCAAGCAGGATCTAATTTATAATTTTTTATACATACATCTCTAAAATTTTCAAAGACATCAGCTAGTAACAATACATCAGATTCGTTATATAAATTATGATAGTCTCTAAATGTTTTACATTGAAACTCTTCCCATACAGTTTGAGCATGTAAATAATCTTCATCACTTATTCCTTCATCGTTTAGTCTTGAATAAAATGATTCTTTTGGTGGTAATTGTGTTTCATTTAATTTATCAATAGAGTCAACACATTCATAAGGATAAACACCTTTTCTTAACAATAAATTGAGTTCATTTCCAGAATAGTATCTACTAACATTCTTACATTGCTCCTTTGTTAGATTTTTAGTTAAACTATCTAAACTAGAAGCCATAAATCTAAAACTATCAAGAAAACGTAGTTGTAGTTTAACTTCAATAACTTTATTTTCTTTATTCGTAAATTCATTTACTTTAAGTTCTTTAGAAAAGCTGATATACTTTTCTTCATTGTTAGGAATGCAGTTTATTTTACCTGACAATTTCTTTATGAACAAGTGAGAATCATAATTAGATAAATTGTGAAATAAGATTGGAATGAATTTTGGAATTTTAAATTGCAAATTACAATCACTATGTGCAGCACCTCTATATTTTCCAGTAATATGACAATGATCTCGTACTTTATCTTTTCCTAGTTTGTTTTCACAAATGTGACATATTTTTGCATCATCAAATTTTTTTTTGTCTTTAATAGTAAATATCATCTTTTTTCGAAATTTTAAATGATCGTTGTAAATCTTTTTTACATCTTCTTCTAGCATATCAATAAATTTTTGTGCTACATCTTCATCTTCATTACTTGCAGTGAATGTAACTAGTTTACTTTTATATGCACTTTCATCAAAGCATTTAATATAGTAACAAAATGAACTAGGTGTATGCTTTTGGTATTGCTTTGTATAGGAACTATCAGAGTTTGGTTCACAAGTATTAATAGGTTTAATAATACTTTCAAAATCAGCATAGACTACAAAAGGTACTCTCATTGTTTTTTTAAAATGATTAAACTTTATCATTGTATTTGGCTTTGGAAGTTCAATTCGTACTGAATCGTGAGTATCACAATACAATTTATGCTTTGATAAAGATTCTTCAGTACTAAATGCTTGTAAACAATTTCTACAAAAAAACATTTTACCGTTATGTTTAGATAGTTGTGATGAAAGTAGTCTACTTAAACTTTTTATTAAACAATAATGATTTGCATCATCATTTGAAATGAGTAATAAATCTATTTGATGTTGTCTATTTTTCTCATTTGATATTCTTAAAGGATAAACTGAACTTTCATATCCAAATACATTAATACTTATGTCTTGATTATTTTTCTCA